GAGTGCTCTGCCCACATCGGCATCTGCGGCCCCGGCACCTGCTACAACACCCTGGGCAACTACACCTGCGTGTGCCCCCCGGAGTACATGCAGGTCAACGGGGGCAACAACTGCATGGGTACGGCCCTGGATCCATGGGGAGGGCTCTAAATCCATGGGGAGGGGTTCTGGATCCGTGGGGAGAGCTCCGGATCTGTGGGGAGGGCTCTGGATTTGTGGGGAGGGCTCCAGGTCCACGGGGAGTGCTCTGGATCCATGGGGAGGAATCCAGATTTGTGGGGAGGACTTCAAATCCGTGGGGAGGGCTCCAAATCTTTGGGGAATGGTCCAAATCCATGGGGAGGGCTCCAATTCTGTGAGGAGGGCTCTGGATCCATGGGGAAACTCCAAATCCATGGGGAATGCTCTGGATCCATGGGGAGGGCTCCAGATTTGTGGGGAATGGTCCAGATCTGTGGGGAGGTTTCCAGATCCATGGGGAAAGGCTCCAAATCTTTAGGGAGGGCTCCGAATCTTTGGGGAATGGTCCAAATCCATAGGGAGGGCTCCAGTTTGGGGGGAGGGGTCCAGATCTGTGGGGAAGGCTTCAAATTCATGGGGAGAGCTCCAAATCCATGAGGAATGCTCTGGATCTGTGGGGAGGGCTCCAAGTCTGTGGGGAGGACCCCAAATCCATGGGAAATGCTCTGGATCCATGGAGAGGGCTCCAGATCCACAGGGAATGCTCTGGATCCCTGGGGAGGGCTCCAAATCCATGGGGAGAGGTCTGGCACTGCCCTGTGCCCACCCTGCCCCGTGCCCACCCCGAGCCTGGCGCTGCCCCCCCAGACATGAGGAAGAGCGTTTGCTACCGCAACTACAACGACACGTGCGAGAACGAGCTGTCCTTCAACATGACCAAGAAGATGTGCTGCTGCTCCTACAACATCGGCAAGGCCTGGAACAAACCCTGCGAGCCCTGCCCCACCCCTGCCAGCCGTGAGTGCCCTCACAGGGTCCCTGTGCCACCGTCACGGGGTCACTGTGCAACCCCTGCCAGCCGTGAGTGCCCTCACAGGGTCCCTGCCCCACCCCTGCCAGCCGTGAGTGCCCTCCCGTGGTCCCTGTGTCACCGTCACGGGGTCACTGTGCCACCCCTGCCAGCCGTGAGTGCCCTCCCAGGGTCCCTGTGCCACCCCTGACCACCCTCATGGGGTACCTGTGCCACCCCTAAGTGCCCCAGGGTGTCCCTGTGCCACCCCTGCCAGC